GAAAATGGGCAAAGAGGCGGGAGCTGGTTGCTGAAACCACGCCCACCTAGCTCGACGGCGGTGACAGCAGCGGCAATCCACCTGTCGCTCAAGTGGCCACGCCCTTAATTATGCAGAACTTTAAGCCTTAATATAATTTAAACAGATGAGTTATAAAAAAATGCACCCCCCTGACAGTTGTCATGAAGGGCAAAATTAGCTATATAGACCAAAACCACTTTTTGTACCAGGCTGTAAACATTTTTTTTTCTGCTGTAAAGTTGGGCATTTTAACATGGGGAGTCTATGGGACCGACTCCCTTTTGGAGCCAGCCTCTAGCGGCCAGTCGATGAATTGCAGTTTTAGTCACTTCCGTGTTGGTTTCACGAGAGAGAGCGGAAGGTTGCCGCTTGGTTGAACCCAATTATAGTTGTGATGTAAAAGTACGATTGAGGAGAACGGCACACTATTTCCCTGTTTAACACTGTAAAACTGCTTTGACACAATCTGCATTGTAAAAAGCGCTATATAAATAACGGTGTTTTGTCTAGAGGGTGGCACATGTGTTTTTCTGCTGGAGTTCGATGTGCCTGACTGGTGGATGAGTGAGACTGTTGATAAATCAGGATTAACACAGTGCCACGGGGAGAGACAGACAGATATCAAATCTGTAATGCTGTTTGGAAGAAGTCAGCCATGAAATGCAGGTCACAGGCCATAAATGAGACAGACAACACGAAGAATATATGGATGTCAGAGCAGAGCTCGCACATGTGAAACTAGGTCAAATCCAAACTCCTTTAACCTGTCATCTTAAATGATCCTGGATGTGCTCGAATTCCTCACGTGTGGGACAATAAATAACCAGACCTGTCAAAGACAACATGAAATGACATTTTCTAGAAACACAAACCTGTCCGTAGGCAAAAATAGTGGCATTATAACCCTCAAAACATCCTTCGATGAGTTTCTCAGTGCAGTTGGCATAGATGGTGTCCTGCGTCGAGTCCACGTCAAACACATAGTCATACGTGAAGGCCTTGTCCTTTCCCAGAACCACCTGGGGTTCGCCAGGGGTCACAAACGTGCAGATGTGACATCCCTCAATCTTTTCCTTTGCCAGCTGAGGACGAATCCTGTGACACACAGAGACATGAAATATTCTAAAACGACTTGCACAGTCACACGCTGAATAACAATGAGAGCCTCCTGATGTGTTGATAAAGTGACAATTAGTTATCTAAAATAGGAATGTAATTACTGGGTGTGACTGCATAGGATAACATGTCTAGCAAGAAGTTTTACACTTCAAATATGAAATCTCGGTCAATAAACAAAAGGATGCTTCCTCACATTCAGCAAGATACAAAAAAACCTATGTTTGATCTCTAGAAGTATCTATTATATTCTAGTATTCAAATATGGCTCTGGTCCTTCTTGATCCCTCTTTCATCTTTTTGTTTACCAAGTAAAAAATCTTTCGTCCAATCACTTAGAAAAGTAACATCACACCTCTCTTTAACAAGCCATATTTGAGGTATCATTCATAGCACACTAAGTTTAATACTTAGCAGTATGGTTTGTTCAAATCACCAATCAGCAGCAACAGTGAGGCTTGCATAGCTCAGTAAACACCTCTAAAAAGAGACACTGATGTCACTTTCTATGGCGCACCTGACAGCAGAGGCTGAGCTTTCACTCCGACTGTGAGAGACGCTTTTGTTCAGAGCACAATTCACTGACAGCAGCACAGAGAGACTATTGTGTGTGTTTGATACTGGATCTGTCGTGTACTGAACACCAGAGAGAGAGAGAGAGAGAGAGAGAGAGAGAGATACGTGGGTGAGAGAGACATAAGCAGAGGATGGGTTGGAGCCAGTCTGTAAGATCTGTATTGTTTCAAACATGTCAGCAGTGTGGAAGCATTTAAAACGGTCCAAGAGAGACCAATCATTACAAGCACCGACAGCGAGAGACTGTTTAGCACTGCATCGCATGTCTTCGATGAGAAGAGGAGGGTGGTTATTGCTGGTTACTGTATGATGATTGAAATTGCCAAATGGCCTTAAACAATTCGTAAAGAAACTGCAGAAGGTTATGTTTTCTAATACACGCACGAATTGCAGGTATTCTGACAGCGTTGCACTGATGGCGCTGTCTGCTTGTTAGCCAGTGTTCAAAGCACGGGGAAAATCCGCGCTGAAACAGTGTAACTCGTCAGTTGCTCAGTAAAATTTTTCTGAATTTTTACAAGGCATGTGACAGTGTGATACGTGCGACAAACATCTTCCCAAATTCGTAATGAGAATCATTTATAAATCTGCTGTTGTCAAACGAAAAGAAGCACTGAGGTCTTCCTGTGGGTTTCCTCCAAAATAAAAGCTGAGAAAAAGCAAGAACTCCATCAGCATTCATAAATGTTAGTGTTGTATTTTTACTGTTGTTCTGTGAAATAAAATAATAAGTAAAACAATAATAATGATAATAATACTTACAACCAGGGATTGAAATTAACTTTTTTACTCACCAGCCAATTATTAAAAGATACTTTAAATGTGAAATTAAATCCGCCAGTAAGTGGCAGCAAGTCACTGTTAAGTGAGTCACTGCGAATGAACCGAATCATTTAAACGCTTGATTTTGCTCAGAGACGCAAAACAGCGCTGTGTTTGGAATGTTTTCTGTTGGCGAAATAACGCAAAAACAGCCAATATGGTGTCTAAAACGTAAGTGTTTATTGAACTGTTGTATAAAATCAATATCACATTTGTAACCATGCTGATTTTCTTTTTTAAAACGGTACTCTTCATGTGATATTAACTATATGAATTGATATAAATATATACATTTTCTAACCCCCTTATCTTGAATTATGTGATCATTCGTAATGCATATTAACAGACTGAATCATGCAATGGAAGAATGCACTCTAAATGCGCACGGCATGGCTTGCATGAATTTCCCAAAGAAATTAATGAGTGAACATAACTTACGAAAAGTAACCCGCCAAACAGCGGTTACCCACCACAGCTGATTTTTACCCGCATTTGGCGGGTGTTAATTTCAAACCCTGCTTACAACAGCTCTATTAATACATTTATTATAACATTCACACATAGTGTTCAAATTGTGAGCTATAATATTTTCTAATGTTTTAAAAGAAGTCTCTTCTGCTCAGGAAGGCTACATTTATTTGTACAGTAAAAATTGCATGCCTGATTCAAGGGGTCTCAAAAATGGCCAAAAAATATTATTTTACTAACTTATTAATTTTAAGTTAAATTGTGCTTTGTTTTTGTAATGTCTGCTAAAACGTTAAAAAACGTTCAGTGTTAAACAAATATTTTTAAATTGTTGTTTTGTAATTTATTTATTTTTAATTTGAAAAGCAAGACAAAATGGTAAAAAGCACATTTTGGCTATTTAATTTATACAATGGTGAAAAAAAATTGGCAAAATACATGGGGAGAAACAAGAAAATACGTGTTCTGTATTCAGTCTTCGGCCCAGTGTTTAATTTTCGGCTTCAGCCAAGAATTTTCATTTTGGTGCATCCCTAGCCTGAACCAGCTGATCTAACTCCTTTCGACTCTGAGGGGCAAGGGCACTATTCCGAGTCTCTCCCATTTGTCAGAGCTTCTCACCTTGTCTCTCACATTTAGCTCAGACACCCTTCTGAGAAAACACATTTCAGCAGCTAATGTGGTTGGAACATAGATCAACTGGTTAATCAAGAGCTTCGCCTTCGAACTCTGCTCCAGCTTCACCACGACAGTCTGGTACCACAACCGAACTACTGCCGCCACCGCTCCTTTCTATCGATCTCATGTTTAGATCTGCCCTCACTTGTGAACAAGAACTCAAGATACTTGAACCCCTCTACTTGGGGAAGCAACTCACTCCCTACTTGAAGTGGGTAATCCACCTTTTTCTGGTTGAGAACCATGGCCTCAGATTTGGAGGTGCTGACTAATATCACCAGGCAAGGTCAGCAAGTTCCCATCCTGACTTACAAGAGCCTGAACCAGCCTATACTTCCTCAAATAAGACAACTGATGGTTTGCAACAGTGACAGGCAGCAAGAACCTTCTAGCAGCAGCTCAAATTCCACAATAGAGGCTTTGAACAGAGCCCACTCGGATTCCATGTCTCTAGCCTCCCTAAGGATCAAGGAGTAGCTCCTCTGGAGGTGGGAGCTAAAGATCTTCCAGACAGGATCCTCTGCTAAACATTCCCATTTCACCCAGATGATTTATTTTGGTATCCCCAAGTCTGTCCAAAAGCTTTCAGACCCCCGTCATCTTATTCAACTTACCAATAGGTGGTGATCCATTGACATCCCTGCTACTCTCTTTACGAAGTGTCCAAAACACACGGCCACAGGTCTAATGATATAACAACAAATTCAATCATCAAACTTTGGCCTAAAGTGGTCGGGAAGTAGGTACATGGAGTTTGTTATGGCTAATCCATTCAGAGCACAGAAGTCCAACAACAGAATACCACTCCCTTCCAGGTCTCTTCGTCGTCACCAACCTGATCTTTGAAGTCGCCCAGTAGTACTATGAAGTACCTAGGTGGTACTCCTTCCAGGGCCCAACCCAAGGTCTCCAAAACGGCTGGACACTTTGAACTGTGGTTTGGCACATAAGCACAAAACACAGTCAGAATCTTTCCCCCGTGTCACAAATCACAGAGAGATGACCCTCTTGTCTACCAAGTTAAAGTTCATAACCATGGCGCAGAGTCGGCTTGTGAATATTCCCATACCCTCTAGTTGCCTCTCATCAGGGCCGACTGCAGAGAAGGAGTGAGCCCAACCCCTATCCAGGTGTGTGGTTCCAGAGCCCGAGCTGTGTGTGGAGGTGAGGCCATCTATATCTAGCTGGTATCACTTAAACTCCTGCACCTCTGACTACTTCCCCACCAGAGAGGTCACATACCATTTACAAAAACCTGATTCTGCAACCAAGGTCCTGTCTTCAAGACCCCTTCTCCACTTACTTGCTACTGTAAAAAACAAATAAGCAAAAATGTCAATACTGGCCTTTTTCATGTCAGAAGTTAGAAATAAAGTGAATCGATAATTTGAATAGTTTAATAGGAATAGACTAACATTAAAGGGGTCATATGATGTTGCTAAAAATAACATTATTTTGTGTATTTGGTGTAATGAAATGTGTTTCGGAGCGTGTGACGGAAATGTTACGCCCCTTACTGTACTGTTAGATCTTTTTTATGCACCAAGAGCTTGTAACACTCCAAAGAGAAAGGAAAAATTGAAATCGCATCATATGACCCCTTTAAAATTGTGGCCTATATGGATAGGCTGATAATTATTTTCATGTCATGGTTAATATCTGATTAATGGCTATTTTGCACATAAACTAAAAGAAAACAAAAACTAAAATCAATCATTTTAAATTAGGAATTTCAAAAATGGTATCCCAAAGTATACAAAACAAAATTAATTATTTTTATTAATATAATGTTACATCAAAAATTACTTTTAAGTGAATGTTGACATGTGGTGTTGGCATGTTGTCAAATGCTAATTTAAATATAAAACATGGGAAATATATTAAATTAAATATCCATTATACAGTATTGCACAGTTCATTCCTAAATATTAATAGTGTAATATCTTATCAAAAATGTGATTGGGGCATGAGAATGCCCATAGCAAGAATGAACCAGTCGTCGTATCTGTGCCGGCAGACAGAGGCGGACTTACCCATTAGGCAAAGGTAGGCAACCGCCTTGGGCCCCCAAAAGCCAAGGGCCCCCTAAAATGCTTTTCATCTACGAGATGCGCATTAAGCGCGAGCACGCGAAGGTTTGCTTTTTACAGTGTTTATCACCACGACAACTGTCTGCGTGTCCGAGTTGAACACACTTCTCGTGTATCCTGCTTGTAACAAATTAAAATATAATGTATCTGAAGCTGTAATTAAATATTGAGCAACAGTGCGTATATTATATGTTTATTGTTTTAAATGCTGCTACTTATTCATAAGAACCCAAGTAGAGGACGCATAGGCAGTTACTTGTTTGGTTGATATAATCCTTAGGTGTGTAAATGTATAATTTCCTTTTCATTATTTTTTTCATTTTCATTTAAATTTGTAGTTAAAAT